CTCTATGTTTTTCTCCCTGCCTTCTAGGTGGTTTCTGACAGGCAAACTCCTAGGAAAGATGAAAGTATCATCTCTAAAGCAATGGAATATCTGTTTGGCTGGTAATAAAGAGGAAGTAACACACTGGGTTCAAACTGTGCTACTGCATCTGTGGTTAGTTGTATAACTACTTGTGGCAGTATTTTATCTGACATCTCACCTGTTATGCCTTCAGCTGATTCAGCAAACATGTAGCTTGCACTTCGGGCAATTTACACATGGTTTTACAAACTGAATAAATGTAAATAAAAGTGCTTTATTTCCATTTGTGCTCTGATTGCATGATTGTAGAAAAAATGTCATCATCTCCTCTGGAACTGCTTTCTGTGAGTTACCTACCAGTAAGCTGGAAATGGTTAAACTGGAAGCTGCATTTACTGATGCCTTTCATTTCTGATTTTTTTCCCCCTCTGGAACAATGATGGGCTACTTGCAGGAAGAACAATATGCACAGTTAGCTCCTAGGGACAGGGCCTGTTCTTAGGATGTGTGATTTTAATAATTTTGATTAGGATTCATTGCTCTTTTGTAATTATCTCTGGCATACTGTTCTCATTATCACAGCAACATTTTAACTCTTTGTTTTGTTAATAAAGTTAAGTTTTTTCTTAGGTTGTTTTTTTAACAATTATGAGTTCTGTTAGGAAAAACTGTTTGCAGTACTCTTAACTGTTAAGTATGATGTTGCCTAATGTTTATTAAAGGGGTGTCAGCAGAGCAGTTGCTGCTGATTTTTACCAAAGTAGTTCCAACAAGGCTTCAAATAAGCTAATGTTCAAATATCATGTCTGTGAGTGTTATATAACAGTGTGCATTGAACAGGTAATGAACTGTGGCAGTCTGAATTATAAAATGTTGAGTTGAGATAGAAACATGCAATGTGTTAGTGACCAGAGCTGCTATCATTTCAAGACTCTGCTAAGAAATTTTCTCTAAGGTATGGGCTGAATGAAGATTGATTTTATTTTTTTAATTTTTATTTTTTAATTTGAACCTTCCCCCTTGAAGTTTTGGAGGTGAACCTTTCAGTAATTTTGTGTGTCATTTAAGCTCATCATCTTTCACCTGCAAAGAGAACGATTTTTTTCTGTAATACTTGGTAAACTACAAGCCCCTGTTCCTTTTCTGTTTTTGTGGCTGTGTTGTTGTGGGTCAACATCAGCCTTTTAGTTTGGGTCAATAGTATTTTCATAGAATCATTGAATCAACTGGGGAGGTGAACCTTTCAGTAATTTTGTGTGTCATTTAAGCTCATCATCTTTCACCTGCAAAGAGAACGATTTTTTTCTGTAATACTTGGTAAACTACAAGCCCCTGTTCCTTTTCTGTTTTTGTGGCTGTGTTGTTGTGGGTCAACATCAGCCTTTTAGTTTGGGTCAATAGTATTTTCATAGAATCATTGAATCAACTGGGCTGCCCTCTTGTCCTGCTGCTGGTTGCCTGGGAGAAGAGACCAACCCCCACCTGACTCCAACCTCCTGTCAGGGAGTTGTAGAGGGTGATAAGGTCTCCCCTGAGCCTCCTCTTCTCCAGGCTAAACAACCCCAGCTCCCTCAGCCTCTCCTCATGGCACTTGTGCTGGAGTCCCTTCACCAGCCTCGTTGCTCTTCTCTGGACCTGCTCCAGCACTTTTTCACTTTGGTCTAGTGAGTGTCCAGTCATACCCATTTCAATGCATTGCTTGTCACTCCGTGTGGTCTCTTTGGCTGCACTTCCCTGGTGAGATTAGATGGCAAAAGATTAGTCCAGGAGCATGCTTTGTGTCCCTCAGATGCTAGTGGGCATCCAATTTACAGGCTTAAGGGATAGACAGTCCTGAATAAAATCCCCAAAGCACTTGGTTGGAAGTCAGGTTTCTCCCTGCGGGGCTTCACTGTATGCTTTGGAAGTAACCTACATGCAGGCAGGTACAGAAAGTTTTTGAGGTGCATTTAACTGATTTGCTAGTTTAGGCTTGTAGAATTGCTACTTGTCCATTTGCTTTTTGATCAAAGGTAGGTGATCAGACTTAATATCTGAACACGTTTTCTCAAAATACATTGTGCTTTTCTTGGCAAAACGTGGTTTGTTGTCCAGATGACTTTTAGGGGAGAAAAAAAGCATGTGTTGGCTAGCTGCTTTATGGAATACATTTTTGGTGTGCTTCAGAGGGATGATGGGTACTGGATTTGGTGTAGTGAAGTGTTATACATCTGAATTTCTATTGAGTGGGTCTGAAGCTGAATACATAAGGGAGGAGTTTGAGCCCAAATCAGTAGTTTGACTCATCTATTTTGCCAATAAGTACCAGATTTAAAACTGTACTGAGTTATTCATTTTCTTGGTTGTTTATATTAGTCTCTTGTTTTTCCTAGCTTGAGGGATGATTGTACTAATTGGTCATTGCAGCTTCCTGTCGAGTGGAAGCACATGAGGGTAGTGGATGTCATTTACTTTGCTCTGGAGGTAGTAAGTAGGAGAAGAAGGAAGTTCAGTGCATATCAATCTGTGTCCTCCTGAACAGTATCATTAAGAAATTATCATCATGTGGCTTCTGCTGGTGAATACTGCTGATAAGACTTCATATGTTGTGTTAGTGTTGAGCACTAGTTAAGCTCTGGTATCAGTGATTTGGGCTTACCAAGTCTGAGCACATTCCAGTCCTATACTGCACAAACCACTACACAGATTTGTGGCAATGTATTCTGATAATGTCATTATTAATTATAGGAGTGTACAGGAGCCATGTGTGAAAGGGGAGAGGCTGTTGAGAAACATCTGTGAAAAATCCCTGGAACACTGGGAAGGTCTTCAAGTGAACCTTTTCAAGTCTATCTACTATTGTGAGGTAGCGTTGCATTGAAAAAACCAGTTCTTCCCCTTTGTTAACCTTGTAATTAATTTACACTAACAGGAACTGGAGATGGAATGTTAGAGTATCACGTCTGCCTCTCATTTCAGGTTGTAGGCGTCTACCTCCACCGTGTGGCAGCTCTTCAGAACTTTAATGAAAGGTTTAACTGATGGTGAATGCAACATAGTATCTTAATCCTACTCAGTTAGGGAACATGCAAATGGTATAGTGAGAAAGTGGCAGTGCTGAAATGCCTCTTAGTTGAAGTGTTTTTTCATAAAAGGAGAAAGGCCAAAAATTAGTTGACTAAACTGTGAGTAATTCAGACTTTTAAATATTGCTTCAATGAAATAGTTCTTAAATTTAATTTAAAGTCTTACCAGTATTCACTGGTAAGATTTATCCATCTCCATTTTGAGATGGATAAATCGGCCAAATGATATTTTAGCAGAATATACCACAATACCCTTTTTTTTTGTATGAACATAATTGCCTTTTTTTTCTGGTAGTCTATGTACATGTGTAAAAATACAACAGTTGCATCAGTTTTCTTTAATTTGTCTGTAGGTGACTAGAACAAACGTGTGCTGCAAAAATGTGTTGTTTAACTGTGTTTAGGAACAGTAAGATGCTCAGCTGTCACATGACTGAAACCAAACTAAACTGCCTCAAAACTGACTTGGAGTCAATTTTGGACTGCAGGTGAGAAGGCTCAGCAATAAACATTCTAGATATGTAGTAAAATCATCATTCCTCAGGCAGCTTCAGCTCAGAGGCTTTGTGATATTGCCTGTTTATAGTGGTTTGGACAAGAGCAAAAGGTGTTCTTTTGGGGTATGTGTCTCAGTAAATATAGTTATTCTTCAAGTTCTTTAGTTCTGTAAGTGAGATTTCAGCTTAAATGAAGAGTTTATTGCTGATGTAAGCAGATGCAGTTAAAGTGACCCTGAAACTGTGGCTTCTGTAGATGAAGTGTGGATTATATTCATTACAGTCCTTTGATGCATGAAGTTGGAGACTCTGAGAAACAGCACGAAAGTGAGGAATTGCTCTGAACAGTCATTGTTTTATTGTTCTCCATTGTTTATTGCATCAGATTTTGGTATCGTTTACTGCAGAAATCCATCTATGAACATACCTTTCATTGCAGGGATGAATTAATCTTTCGGTATGAAAAATTGAGAACTTTTCAATGATATTTTTTTCCCTTTCTGTGGTCTGTGTCAGCCACCTAATTTTTGGGTGCTAGTATGTTAAACTTTTGCCAAAAATCCTCTTTCCTCCTGGCAACTACTGGCTTGAAAGAATCAAATAGTCACATAGTTGTCTGTAATGACAAAGAAAGCACTGTAAAATGAATTTTAAGTCATTTAGATGTTTTAACATATTAATAGCATACATCAATAATTCAACTCAAGTAAGTTTCCAGTCTCCTGACAATAAATGCTCAGCAATCCAGCGTGCAACGGAAGTCAGCCCTTGATTCCATAAAGTCCTAAAACTGTCATGAAGCATCCTCTTCACTAAAGAAAAAAAAGAAAAAAAGGGCTTTCCTGCAAAGTAACCAACTTCTCCTGCCTAACACGCTTTCTCAGCAGGCAAGTACATTGACTTTCTGGGCTATCTCACCAAGTTTGCAGATTTGATTTATTTCCTGTGCAGGATTGCACTGTGGGTGAGATCATGCTGCTGACTTCAGTGAAACTGAGCAAAGACTCAGAGTGTTTTCCAAGTGTGCAGCATGGTACCATGTAACATCACATTTCAATAGCTGAAATCAAGTTAAAAATGCCCATCATGGGATAGTATAATGGGCTATTGATTTTTAGGTGCCACAGTCTCTCTTTCTTTGTAATTGAGTTGTGCTCGTGACCATATGAAGACGTTGGTTTGCAGATTGAAGGTCATAAAGCACAAACTGCACAGAGGTCAATCTTATATACAGCCTAGAGAACAGTCTCAGAGTAATTGCATTATTGTTTCCAGATGACTGCATTAACAATGAAGCTTGCATAGATATTGAATAGTGTAGGTTTTGTTCTTGCTAATGGTAAATTGGGGGGAAAACAGATATTGTTATTCCTATGCACTTCTTTAGGCTCAGCAGCTTTCCAGTTTCCAGCAAATGCAGTGACTCTTTACAATGAGAAGTACCAAACAGATTTCAATCCAGGTTAACTGTGGAATTTGAAGAGAATGGCTTAGAGCATCTTTCTAAAAATTAATCCAGGTTGTTCACAACTGTGCATAAGTAAGACTTTAAAATGTACTTTTAATGATGTTATGGAGACAAAGAGCCTAATAGACACACCATGATTAATTTCAGTGTGAGGGTTTCAATGGAGTGGGTGTTGATGGCTGTCTTCAGCTTTGACCATTTACATGGTCAAATTTAGATGTTGCTGAGCATCTTACTAATAGAGCCTTGAAATGTTTTGGGGTTTT